ATATTCGGCCATGCCGAATCTTATATACCCACCATCAAATCATCCTTATTAATAAATTTTGATATTATCGATCTAGTTTGAATCATATGTTGATATTAATATGAACATCACGGACATATTTGGAAGAGGGCCAAGGGCTTAAGCATGGACCGTGCTATTCCGAATTAAAAATATTAATTTTGTTTGACCCAATATTTATAACCAAAAACTGTTTTTATGTAAGAGTGGTTATATGGAGGGTAGAGTCAATTATGGACCTATCCTTGTCGGTTTATTCAATAATTGTTTGTATCTAATGTCGCTGTACTCGTATTTTTAATTCAGTCATGAGGTTTAAAGTAATTTTCTGAAGAAAGCCGAAAATGGGGGTTTGATAGTTATCGACCGATCTTCATCAAATTCAGTTGAAAAATTTCAGTTCCTATAAAACTACCATAATTTGGAAGAACTTTTGAGTCACACATGAGCGTTTAAGTGATTTTCTGGAGCGAATCAATTATAGACCGATTTCAATAAGGACCGATCCTTATAAAATTTGATAGAGAGGTTTTGGCTCGCACGAAATTTGTTTATGTATAATTTTACCGCTGTACTCACATTTTTGAGTCAGTAATGAGCGTTAAAGTCATTGTATAAAGGAGACCTTATTAGGGGGTTAGGGTCAATTATGGACACATCCTCATAAAATTTAAGAAAATGATTTTAGTTCCTATAAAACTTTTTTATGTCGAATTTTATTGTTATGCATATGCTTCTTAAGGTAGATATGAGCATTAAAGTCCTTTTCTGAAGGGGACCTTATAGGAGGTAGGGTCAATTATGGACCGATCCTTATAAAATTCTACGAAGAGATTTATGTTCCCATAAAACATGTTTGTGCCGAATTTCACAGCTATTGATGCTTCTCTTAGAAAGTTATGGGCGATAAAGTCATTTTCTGAAGGGTACTTTATATGGGGGTAGGGTCAATTATGGGCCTATCCTTATAAAATTTTACAAAGAGATTTATGTTCCCATAAAACATGTTTGTGCCGAATTTCATCGCTATTGATGCTTTTCTTAGCCAGTTATGGGCGATAAAGTCATCTTCTGAAGGGGACTTTATATGGGGGGTAGGGTCAATTATGGACCGATCCTTATAAAATTATATGAAGAGATTAATGTTCCCATAAAACATGTTTGTGCTGAATTTCACCGCTATTGATGCTTCTCTTAGCCAGTTATAGGCCATAAAGTCATTTTCTGAAGGGGACTTTAAATGGGGGGTAGGGTCAAGTATGGACCGATCCTTAAAAAATTTTACGAAGAAATTTACGTTCCCATAAAACATGTCTGTGCGGAATTCCACCGCTATTGATGTTTCTCTTAGCCAGTTATGGCCGATAAAGTCATTTTCTGAAGGGGACTTTATATGGGGGGTAGGGTCAATTATGGGCCTATCCTTATAAAATTTTACAAAGAGATTTATGTTCCCATAAAACATGTTTGTGCCGAATTTCATCGCTATTGATACTTTTCTTAGCCAGTTATGGGCGATAAAGTCATCTTCTGAAGGGGACTTTATATGGGGGGTAGGGTCAATTATGGACCGATCCTTATAAAATTATATGAAGAGATTAATGTTCCCATAAAACATGTTTGTGCCTAATTTCACCGCTATTAACGATTCTCTTATCCAGTTATATGCGATAAAGTCATTTTCTGAAGGGGACTTTATATGGGGGGTAGGGTCAATTATGGGCCTATCCTTATAAAATTTTACAAAGAGATTTATGTTCCCATAGAACATGTTTGTGCCGAATTTCACCGCTATTGATGCTTCTCTTAGCCAGTTATGGGAGATAAAGTCATTTTCTGAAGGGGACTTTATATGGGCGGTAGGGTCAATTATGAGCCTATCCTTATAAAATTTTAAAAAGAGATTTAGGTTCCCATAAAATATGTTTGTGCCGAATTTCACCGATATTGGTTCTTCCCCTAGCAAGTTATGAGCGATAAAGTCATTTTCTGAAGGGGATTTTATATGGGGGTAGGGTCAATTATGGACCGATCCTTATAAAATTTTACAGTGAGATTTAAGTTCCCATAGAACATGTTTGTGCCGAATTTCACCGCTATTGATGCTTCTCTTAGCCAGTTATGGGCGATAAAGTCATTTTTTGAAGGGGATTTTATATGGGGGGTAGGGTCAATTATGGACCGATTTTTATAAAATTTTACAAGGAGATTTAGGTTCCCATAAAACATGTTTGTGCCGAATTTCACTGCTATTGATGCTTCTCTTAGGCAGTTATGGGCGATAAAGTCATTTTCTGAAGGGGACTTTATATGGGGGGTAGGGTCAATTATGGACCGATCCTTATAAAATTTTACAGAGAGATTTAAGTTCCCATAGAACATGTTTGTGCCGAATTTCACCGCTATTGATGCTTCTCTTAGCCAGTTATGGGCGATAAAGTCATTTTCTGAAGGGGATTTTATATGGGGGGTAGGGTCAATTATGGACCGATCCTTATAAAATATAACAAAGACCTTTTGATTCCCATGAAACATGTTTGTGCCAAATCTCACCGCTATTGGTTCTTCCCTTAGCAAGTTATGAGCGATAAAGTCATTTTCTGAAGGGGGCCTTATATGGGGGCTAGGCGAAATTGTGGACCGATATTGCCCATTTTCAATACCAAACAAACTGCATCAACTAAAAGTATCTGTGCAAAATTTCAGCTCGCTAGCTGCTTCCATTTGGACTCTATCGTGTTTTCAACAGACAGACAGACAGACAGACGGACAGACGGACAGACGGACGGACATGGCTAGATCGTCTTAGAATCTAATAAGGACCCAGAATATATATACTTTTGTGGGACTTAGACGAATATTTCAATGTGTTACAAACGGAATGACAAAAACAATATACCCCCCATCTTTTTTGATGGTGGGTATAAAAAAATTAAAAAAAATTATATTGTTATCTAAAAAAAGGAAAAAGGTTCCACTCAGGGCTCGAACTTAGAGCCACAAGACTAACAGATTCCACGCTAACAATCCTGCTACCTTCGATTCAACCTGAACGTAATTATTAATTTAAACTTGCTCTAAAGACACCTTATGGTGAATTTCAAATTTAACATTTACACTGTTGTACCGTTATTTATTTTATAAAGAATTTAGGGCATAATTAAAAATAAAATCAACGAAATTTCCCGCTTGTTTAGTAATTTTATACTAATGTTTGGTATCGTTTTTCACAATATATAATTCCCGATTCGACAATATGATCAAATAATTAATTTCTCAGTACAGAAAACATAATGAATATTCAAGTCATAAAAGAATTCTGTTAATAACCAATTGAGTGTATGTTATTAACTGTGTGGTTAGTTAAACTAAAGCTCAAACTGTTATTAACATACACATATAAATTATTGACATTTACATTGATCTTAACATAAATACATTCTGTCATGGCTACAGATATTTTATGTTTCCTGTAGTTTATTTAGGATCTTAAAATATTAAAGAAAATTTATATTTTTACTCACTTTTGACTGGATTCCGTCGAAAGATCTTTCTCAGGCTCCTGCATGGGTTGAAAATTCGAAATTAAATTAATTCATAACAAAATTTGAAACAGAAGTGGATTTCTATCGATACACTGGGTAATTAGTGATATAAACTCAAAAACTTATAATTTTTTTCCCATTTACTTTTAGTGCCAATTTCATTTCATGGATTCTATGGGAAGAGCTTTACACACTTTTAGTTTTCTTTCACTTTTGTTAAAACAAATTTTCAATTTGCACGAATTTTTCGTTTCTTTTTTTTTAACAAGACTACTATGGTAACTACTATTTTGGGCATATTAGGCTTTTTTTATATATAATTTTCCGTACACTCGCACTTCAAACACTAATTTATAGTGGATTTTAATTAAATTTTCAGGTTGAAAGTAGAGAGATTTAGCTGGAATTTCAGTAAAGATGAAACTGGGTAAATCGGTCCAGATACTTCTATCGGTTTTGACCGAAGGTTTCCCGCTTCCCCATATACTGACGATGTCAAAGTGATTTTTACGGGGGAGATATTCCCACCTCAAAGCCAGGCTTTACATAAAATCTACAGCAGTGAAAGGAATATGTATTTATTTATGGTTATGTTTGGCATATGTACACAAATGACTCAGTATTTACCTGCAATTCTACAAATTGGGAAATTCAAATGTTGTTAGGACTTAAAAATTTTAGCTCCAAATAAGGAAAAATTTGGATGTATAGTGTCGGCTAGCTATAAATCTTCCTCAAGGCCTCATCCAATTACCAATTTTATAAGACTGTGTAAAAAAATAAACTCATAGTTTATCTTCTTTTAATTCACTATACATTTTAAATTAATTTACCTTATTTTCCGTGATTAATATATACAATAGATTTTAATTGAACTTCTTTATAGGATAAATTAAACACTGAAGAACTTAGTTTGACCAATCGTTCTTCAATAAATTTTATCAAAACTTTGATTCGTTGATCAAAATAAGAATTTTGAGGTTTTATACCTCGTCTGTTGGAATTTAAACGCTAATTCAGAATTTTTTTTTTTCTTTCACCAATACAACCTAAAACTTACACACTGACACACACCAATACATTAATCCGCAACATAAAAACCATGAACATTACTAATTAGTTACAACTGATATGAACTGCCTTATCATTTGGCTTTGACGTGTTTATACGGGAAAGAAAATGTATGTTAAAGGTTTTCTTTTTATGTATCAGCATTTTGCAATAAAAATTATCCGAATTCATGAATTCAAACCCATTTTCACTGAAAAAATTATTATCTGATTCTATACTATGAAAAAAATAAACAATTTGATTTTGCATTAAATTTTCAATTCAAACCAGTTCCCCAGCTACATTTCTCCCCCGCCAAAATCAGATTTGGGGTTTGAACAAGCGCCAAAACTGATACCGCTTGTAGCTAATTAGTTTCAAAATTTTCTAAACTCTTATATCCTTGGCGTGGTAAACACCAATCAACTTACCATTTAAGTCTTCTAACTGATAGTAGCAATAACCAGTTTTCCTTCGTACCCTGGCCTTCAAGAATGTTGGTGCCAATTTTGCATTACACCCCTTTCCTAAATCACTTTGCCTAAAATTTCTTCTAAATACTTCCTGGCCTACTTCATAGCTAACTTCTCGTGATCGAAGGTTATAAGTATTTTCGTTCTTTTCCTGTTGCCTCTCAATATTTCTTACAGCCCTAGTTCTTATTATCGCGAGTGAATCTTCACGGTCAAAATTTATAGTCCTATCCTCCAGCATTTCCAGTTTGCGTAAGAGTGCATAAGATTTACCGTTGGTAATCATGTGCTGTCGGAATGCCATGTAATAGGGAGAAGTACCTATTGCAGCATGCACAGCTGAACGTAAAGCACAACTGATGCTGCTGAGATATTCATCCCAGTTACTTTGATCGACTTTAATGTACGTCCTTATTGCTGAAAGAACTGAACGATTGACTCATTCAGATGCGTTGGCTTGGGGCGAGTATACAGCGGTATAAACATGACCAATATTATAATCCTGTAGGAGTTTATTGAATTTAAGGGATTTGAATTGTGATCCGTTATCAGAAACCAAGGTTTTCGGTGTGCCAAACGTATGAAACAATTCTTCTAAATACTTCACTATCACATCAGAAGTAAATTTTTTATGGGTTTCAAAAAGTTAAATTTTGAAAAGTGATCAAGGACTATAAAGATACCAATATTGCCAGATTTTGAACGAGGATAAGGTCCCAAGAAATCAACGTACAGTTTTTGAAAGAATCGCACAGTGTTAGAAGTCTTTCCGATAGGTGGTCTTGAACAAAATTGGGATGTTTTGTGCCTTTGCAAACGTCACAAGCATTCACATATTCCCTCACGTCATTCACCAAATTAGGCCAATAATAATACCGACGTATTCTTTCCATTGTTTTGGTTATACCCCCATGAGCAGGTAAAGGACTATTTTGCGCTCTTCTTAAAACCTCTGGAATCAGATCCTTTGGAATCCAAAGCTTCCAAGCAAGGTCATCCTGTAGCAGAACAGTGTTCAGTCCGTCTGTACAATAAATTGTCAATGATTTTAAGGTCTGGAGTTTTGACTAAATTCGCCCTAACTTTGTCCAATAAATCCTAAAATTTCGGACAAATCTTCTATATTAGTACGCGAAATTTCATCAGGAACTATGTTTTGACTGCCTTTTCTATGTTCGATTTTAAAGTTGAAGTTGAGGAAGTTGCCAAGCGAGAGTTCAAGTCAGTTTGGGACATGAGCCACTTAAGTGATGCGTGATCTGTGATCACAGTGAACTCATGTCCTTCCACATAAGCCCGAAATTTCTTAATGCTTAGCATTGCTGTCAAACATTCTTGTTCGGCAACCGAATAATTGTTTTGGGTTTGGTTGAGTTTCTTAGACATAAATGCTATTGGAAACTCTTCACCCTCCGCAGTTTTCTGTACCAAGACGCTTCCTATACTAGTGCTGCTAGCATCACAGTGTATATAAAACGGCTGTGAAAAATCAGGGCTATGCAATACTGGGACTGTGGTCAAGATGGACTTTAATTCTACAAAAGCTTTTTGAGCTTCTTCGCTCCAAACATATTTTCTTTTAGTTTTTAATAGATCTGTTAAAGGAGCAGTTACAGAAGCATAGTTCCTAATGAACTTCCGGTACCACCCGGACATACCCAAGAATCGTCTGAGTTGACGAACAGACCTCGGTGTCGGGAATTCTGTAATGGCTGCAATTTTATCTGGGTCTGTTTGAATTACCCCGTTATGACCAAGATAACGGACCAAGATGACCAAGAAAACTTCCAAGTGACGATTAAACGTATCCGAAACAACCAATAAGTCATCAAGATAAACGAACACCTCTGTCCTCAAATTCGACGGAACCACTTTGTCCATTAGCCTCGACATAGTTTGAGGCGCATTGCAGAGACCGAACGGCATAACCTTAAAATGGTACAAGGGCCGTCCGGGGACAGAAAATGTCGTTTTATCTTTCGACTTTTCATCAAGTGGAATCTGCCAAAATGCGTCCTTCAAGTCTAAGCTAGTTATAAATTCCGCATTAGGCAACCTGCTAAGTATGCCATCAATATTTGGCAGGGGATAAGCATCCTTAACAGTAACGGAATTTACTTTCCGACTATCCAGACATAACCTGACTTTCCCTGGCTTTCTAACAAGGACGATTGGAGAAGACCAAGCGCTGTCCGATTCCTCGATAACGTCATTCTCTAACATACTATCCAATTCTTGATAAATCAATTTTTCCATAGCTGGAGAGACAGGGAAATGTTTTTGTTTTATTGGAGTTGTATTACCAACCTCAATGGGACAATAATGTTGTTCGACCTAAGCCGTCTTTGGCAAACGAAGGAAAGGTGTTAATTACATGTTGTAGTTGAGATTTTTGTCATTCAGAAAAAGCTCTTTGATATACTATTTTATCGTCACTATTAATATTTGATACACCACTGACAGAAGAAATCAAACCCGTCGGCAAAAGATCAAATACGCGCCAAAAATCTATACCCAGATATAGATCTTGGGACAAATCCGGTACTATGTAAAATTTTAATTGTTTCGTAATTCCACGGAAAGTAACATCAGTCTGAATATATCCACACACAGTTTGTAGTTTTCCATCTGCCGTTTTAACGAAAGAACGAATCCTTTTGAAATCATGATCAGAGTCTAAAAAGTCTAAGGCAGCTTTTGAACCAATACAGCTAACTGATGCACCAGTATCCAGCAAACCTATCCAATCTTTGCCAAAAATGTTCACTGTAGCGTAAGGACGAATATCATTTGGGTTATCAAATATTGAACTTAACAAAATCTGCTTACTTTGCTTAACACTATTCCAAAAATTTTTAATACGATTAGAAGATCGTTTTCTCTTTACACTAGAAATGGCCTCGTTAAAAATTTCAGCTCTTTTTGCCTTATATTCCGCTGAACGTACGTGAAAGGGTTTCATATATTTTGGAATATGAGTGGAAGAAGAGTTGGTAGTGTTAGATAAATTTGACGGAGATTGAAAAGGATTAAACTCTGCGCTATCATTTTTGTAAATTGTTTTCAATAAAGGCATTGGGTTTTGGTCAAAATCGGTTTGGGTTGAAAAATCCTGTAGATTTGTGTCTCGTCTAAGAAAAGAACTAATTTTGGTGTTAGTACCAGAGCTGGGATTTAAAATTAATCTGTGCTGGTGCTGGTTGTCTTCATCCGGTTGTGTGTACTTTTCAGTACACCGGATTTGGAGTTTTTTGGATTATTACAACTAGCACAATTAGGTGTATAAATGTCCGGTATACCACATCCGTAGCAAAAAATCCTACGATCCTCTAGACATTCTTGGTATCTATGACCAACTTTTTGACAATTCCAGCAAATCAATGCAATTGCAGAAATTTCGTTGTCATCTGTCAATCCCACCTCATCTTCAGCAATTTCGTGAATCTGCCTACGCTAAATAATGGGTTTACTAAAAGCTTGTTTTCGACTAATGTCCATTAAAAAGAACTCTCGTCGGCGGCAAATATCACGCAAATGAGACACAGAATATACCGGTATATTAAGAATTTCATGTCGAATTTCTGGCAATAAATTTCTTCTTAATATTTCCACCAAAACGTTTTCGGGCAATGGCGTAGATAAACGATCGGCAATATCCACCACTGACTCGTAAAAAGAATTAAAATTTTAATTTTGCCTTTGCTTTCTATCCCTAATCATTTCCCTAAAATCTACATCAGTCCTAGAATCCTTGTACTAATGTCTAAGGGCAGTGCAGAGATCAGTCCATCGAATTTCCGGGACCGAACGATGGTATCTCCAAAACCATCAAATAAAGTGGATTAGCATCAAATAAAGTGGAAATATGTCGGCATAAGAGATCAAAATTACCATTTAAGGTTTGCTGCGTTAAGTTTCTCTATTCTATAAATGAAGCTATCTATCGACATCCCCTTTGCATCTCCCGAAAATTAAATTTTCCAATTATTGATTATGTGACCTACTTTATCTGATCGTAAAGGCGAATCAAAAGATCCACTAACATGGATGAATTATTCAAACTCATTCTCCTAAAACCAGCTTCAATGTTTTCCTCAATTATTTTGGTAAGTTGTTGACTGAGACTTGTCAACATTTCAGCTTGTTGAGCTCCTACAGCAGCAGTTACTAGGTTACGAATATGCTCTCTCTGTTCGTGTGGAGAACTAGATGACATGACTGAAAAATTAGATTCTCTAGCTTGATTTTGCACTGGAAGGGGATTACTACTATTAAGATCCAATTCCTGAGCACGTTGTGCCTGTAATCTAGTAACCATAGGAGGTGATGAAGCAGATGGACAACCAATCGGATTTAATTTAGCATTAAATGTGGGACAAATTTGCTTCACCTTAATGTGTTTTATGATTTATGAAAATTATGACCACAAGTGGATTTGCAAAGATATGATGAGCTAGAAAAAGCGTTAGCACAAATACCACAAATTGGCACATTGTTACCTAAAGCGACTAAATCTTCTGTGCTTCTTTGCATTGACATGCTAATAAACCCATAAAATTTCAAATTCAAAAGAAATAAAGATATTGAGAAAAAAATTATATAATTAAATTCATACAAAAAAATAAAAAAAAAAATAAAAAATGATATTTTTACACTGAATAATATTAAGATTTTGTAGATAAAATTTCAATTATGTTAAATTAAATTACCCGGATCAGGGAATTTAATTTAACATAATTGAAATTTTATCTACAAAATCTTAATATTATTCAGTGTAAAAATATCATTTTTTATTATTTTTTTTTTTTTTATTTTTTTGTATGAATTTAATTATATAATTTTCTCTCAATATCTTTATTTCTTTTGAATTAAAGAGAATCTAGTTTTTCAGTCATGTCATCTAGTTCTCCACACGAACAGAGAGAGCATATTCGTAACCTAGTAACTGCTGCTGTAGGAGCTCAACAAGCTTAAATGTTGACAAGTCTCAGTCAACAACTTACCAAAATAATTGAGGAAAACATTGAAGCTGGTTTTAGGAGAATGAGTTTGAATAATTCATCCATGTTAGTGGATCTTTTGATTCGCCTTTACGATCAGATAAAGTAGGTCACATAATCAATAATTGGAAAATTTAATTTTCGAGAGATGCAAAGGGGATGTCGATAGATAGCTTCATTTATAGAATAGAGAAACTTAACGCAGCAAACCTTAAATGGTAATTTTGATCTCTTATGCCGACATATTTCCACTTTATTTGATGCTAATCCACTTTATTTGATGGTTTTGGAGATACCATCGTTC